TGACAGCAGTGTGGCGTTTGGGTGGGGGCGACACCTTGTCTGCTCGGAGGAGGATGTCGGTGATGACTGCTTCGGAGGTGGGGTTGAGTTCGAAGGCATAGTATTTGTGCAGTGAACGGATGGCAGCAGCAACTCGAGATGGGAGCAGGGGATCTGGGGACCAGCCTTGGAGGATGTTTACTTCGGTGGGGGTGGCATCATCAGAGGCAACGGACATGGCATCATCAGCAAGTACAGAGAAGGGATTGGATGAGAGGCCAGAGGCAAAGGATGCATTTGCAGGGTGTGGCTCAGTGGATACTTCTTTGGGAGTAGAGGCATGTTTGGCGGTAGTGGGGGACTTCTTCTGTGGAGCTTTGGTAGTGGCATTGGTTGCAGCTTTGGTGGTGACAGCAGGGGTGGTGGCAGCAGGTTTGCTATCATGGCTACTGTTGCTTTCGGATGAGGAGGATGAGGAAGAAGAGGAGCTGTTGCTGCTTGTGGACTCACTTGCGGCGGCGACGCTTGGGTCTGGGCGGAGTGGGTCTGGTTGGGCTCCTATGCCGTGGCTCTCTTGGCTGGAGGATGGAGCAGTTGTTGTTGCTATTGTTGCTGAGGCTTTGGAGGAAGGAATCGGTGGTGTTGGAGCTCGCGGTGGGGTTTGACGACGTTTGGCACGGCTCCTTTTGGTTTTGGTTTTGGCCATGGTGGGTAATAACTGGGGCAGTGGCGAAGGCAGTGGGAGGGAGGTGATCAGTTGTAGTGAAATTCCAGAGGTGCTGGAATTGTGGGTTGATGGGTGGATGCAGAGTGAATGTTTCGAAGAGTAGTTGGATGGGGAGGTCGTTGGTTCGTGACGGCAGGGGGATGTGTGGCGTGGTCGCGTAGGATGTGGTGGATGCAGTAGAAGGATCTGAGTTGGAGGACATGGATGATAGTAGGGCCTGCTGGATGGGGCGATATGGTTGTTCCGCGGAAGAGTGATGGTGTTGTTCCACGGAAGATTGATGGTGTCGGCGGAAGATGGGTTGTTCCACGGAAGAACGGCAGAAGATGGGTTGTTCCACGGAAGAATGGTGTTGGGTGGGTTGTTCGTGGGGAAGAGGATGGGAGCCAATGGGAGGTGCTGCCGTGGGAATGTGAATGGGGTTTCGAGTGCTTGAGTGTAGTAGGCGGCTGTGGGTAGTGGCACGGCCGGTGGATTGAATGGTGCCGGATGCAGGAGTGGTGATTGTAGGCCGAGGGAGTTGATGGCGGTGTTCTTTGATTGGTTCCACGGGAGGATGGGATTGGTGATGTCGAGTGGTGTAGGCAGCTGGGAGGTAGTGAGACGAGAAGGGTTGAGCGTGGGCCATCGTGGTGGAAGTGATGGAAGGAGGCCGTTGCGAGGGGGCGGTAGCAGGAAAAGAAGCATCGTTGAGGGAATGGAGAAGCGGAGAACGTCGAAAGGAGCTGGTGGTGGGTGTGCTTGTTGCGGGGAAGTGAGCGGCATCATGGTGAGTGTCAATGGGAGTGATCTGCTTGGTGGAACGTTTGTCCATGGTGGGGCAAAGCGGTGTGTAAGAGGATTTTTGTGGCAGAGGCAGCATTGAGGCAGTGTGTGTTCGAAAGGTGGTAGGAGCAATTTATGAGCGGAGTGTTCGATAGTGGTTGGAGGTTGGTGGCACCAATCGTCAGTTGAGGGGTATGGTTCCGAATAGAGGGTTTGGTCATACTTAGGCAAAGAGGGTGGAAACGTGTGGGTTCGGGCTGTTTCAGGGGGTCGTGTGGAGCAGGGGCGGTACCGCGGAAGGTTCGTGGGATCGGCAAGCATTAAGGGGGAATGATCAGGCTTACGGAAAGCAGATGGGATGTTCCGAGTGACGCACGAGTGTGCCGTTGGGAGGCGGGAGTGGGGGTTCCGCGAAATTCGTAGGCAGGTGTTCCGCGAAAATCGTAGGCAATGACGAGTGGATAATGACGGGAGGAAAATGGTGCTGGAGAGGGTGACAATGGGAGTATTTGAGGCTGGAAGTGGGAGGACTGGAAGCGGCAGGGTCAGGTTGATAGGGAGTGGTGTCGCGCATGTCTCGTTGGAGGGTGGGGAAGGTGAGAAGGAGGAACGAGGAGCAGAATCGAAGAATGTCATGGTTTGATCTGTGCAGCTCCGTTGGAGTTGCTGCAAGGACAGAGGGGATTCTGGGGGTGGCGAGGAGCAACCAAAAGCCCACCATGGTGGCGGGGATGGCCGATAAAGGTAACCAGTCGATAGTGTTGTCATCTTAATCTTACTACTGAACATTGTGTCCATGAGAGGGTGCCAAAGATCGAGATCTGGAGCCATTATTGATGACAGCGCTACTGGCTTATATCATCGTCTGTCGAGCCAGCCTCTTGGACCAATGACGGTCAGGACAAACCCACAGCAAGGGATGGCAGTTTAATCTAAAATTCTGTTTGGCTTGGATCCTCTCAAGAGAATGTGACGGTGTTGCGACCAAGGTTGCATCCAATCAGTGTTGCGTTCGGACCTGCGGTTGAAGCCTTCCTGACCCCGGCACCATGCGTGAAGTCTTATTCCAAATGTCACGGTAGCCAAGGAAGCTGGAAAGAACTGAAAATCTTTATGACTTCACAGGTTTGTTCGGCACAGAAAGCTCGGATGCGCGCTGGAGTCTTTCTAGCGTAACTCCCAGTGCTCGTTCCTGAAACTTGAGGGCTGCAAAAGAAGTCTTTGTCGGGGAAGCTGAAATAGTACAGCACCATAGACGTGCCAGCGCAAAAAATACTGGGGAGGAGAGCCATGAAACGACTTTCGGTGCCGCGAAACGACTTCCGGCGCACTGGGAGCTGTCCTGCAGACGCACACCAATCGCGATTGCGGGAGGCGTGAGAAGCCGGGTGCTGATGCATCGTTGCTGATGCTCCGTCCAGACAAAGCACAGCACCGTCGAAAACGATTTCTAGTTTTATATCGTATACTCCCGAGGGCCACCCGCTAGAATTGGGTATTTGTCTTGTCCATGTACCTTCCAACAAAATCATCACAGTCGTCTTCCACCAAAAGCTGTTGCCACTTCTTCTTTCGTATCTTGTCGCGGTTCATCCAGAGGGAAGCCAACGGCACGTTCTGACGGCCACCGATCTTCATTGCCACGCTGGTTGAGTACCCGATTTCGGTCCAGCTCTGAGCGGAGAAGGGATTGGTGATGCAGTGCGTCAAGTTCCGATTTACCAATTTTACGACCGGCGCGAAGCGCTTCTGGCGCCCTATATTGAGGAACGATGAGGAGCATGTAGCTCATCACATAAACAATCACGTTACACAGGTATCGGGGTGATCTTTGGCGGCAGTGTCGAGAGGATTTAACGCGTGTTATTGTCGGTCCGTTGCAGATTTCTTAGACTGATTTTGCATGTGTGACGGATTTCTCTTGCCTCGGCTTTGTGGTGTCTGGAATTACGGTTGCGATTGGGGTATAGTTGAGCATTTTGTCTCCCCCATGTTTTGTGTATGTCGCTCTTAGATCGCTTTCGGGTAGAGTGTGGCGGCTAGTCTCGTCAAGTGTGTTTGCTTCGTTTCGATTTTGTCTTTGTGGGTTGT